AGATAAGAATATGATAGATAAGGATACTGTTGTTTTGCAGTTTTATATAGTGTGTGTGCATATACATACATACACACACACATACACACAAAAACATTTAGGTTTTCAGTTAAAACTTGTATCTGTTATATAATACCATTTAATGTTTTTATAATTTTGATTGACGGTGCCTGGTGTTTTTGAATCATCATCATTATCATCATGTCTCCAAGCATAATGGCACGGGACCCCATGTGTCCTCTTGCAGAGGTGCTACATTAAAACTGATTTTTTAAGCATTATTTTTATTTATTTGTAACCCCAGCAGGCTGAGGGGGGCCCCCCCCCGCAGCCCACGGTCACGTGGCGGCCGGGCGGCGGCGCCAGTCTGGAAAAGAATGAATGGAGAAAACGTTCCTGAACGGGCAGCGGCGATTCGCAGAAGGGCGGAGGTCCTGCGACCAATGAGAGGCGGAGTTCAAAGCCGCGGCCCCGCCTCCTCTGGTGTCTCGCGCGCCTGCGCACTCGGCCTGTCGTCCTTCTGCCACACACAAGATGGTGACGGGCAGCTGGGCGCCTTCCCCCTTCTTCCCGCTCCTCCTGCGGCCGCCATGCTGGTGAGGGCGAGCGCGGCTCTGCTGCGGCCCCGGCGGGCTCTCCTCTGCCGCTGGGGCGCCGCCGCCGGCAAGAGGGCGAGGAGGCTGAGCGGGGGAGCGGCCGGGGAGGCGGCCCTCCGCTGCTTCCCCCTCAACCGGGCGCTGCTCCGCCTGCAAGGCCCGGACGCCGAGGCCTTCCTCCAAGGCCTGCTGACCAATGACGTGACGCGCCTGACGCCGGCCGGGGGCGGGGCTCCGCGCGCGCTCTACGCGCATGCCCTCAACGTCCAAGGGAGGTGCCTCTATGACGTCATCCTGTACAGGTGAATGGGGCGGGGCTTCCCCCCTGAAGCTTGGGAAAAGTTACTTTTTCGGGACTACATTTCTCGGGATTAATCCTCTCTTAATTAATTAATTAATTAATTGAAATTAATTAATCCAAACGATTCGAGATTAGAAGGCCGGGGGGGAGGAACAAAAAACGATTCGAGATTGGAAGGCCGGGGGGGGAACAAAAATTTTTTTTGGGGGGGAAACGAATTTCCCATTTTTTCGCCTGTTTTTTTTTTTTAATGGAGTGTGGAATATGTTCTTTGATAAATACGTAATATCAAAGTACGTAACATGAGAACTTCAGTGAACGATTTCAGTGACTTTCGTGTATTTAAGTTTTCTCGAGACATGAAATTTCCAGATGTTTTCAGTTTTTCTTGGGGGGAAAAAGTTTTTCCCATTTGTTTCTGGAAAAAAATGAGAATTTTTGGAATTTTTATATACAGTATATACACACACACACTGTATCCCCGTATCTGTAGTGGATCATTTCCAAGCGCCTCCCCCATGCTGAAAAATGTGGATTACTGTATAACAAATTCTATACATAGTCGGTTCCCTGGCTCTCTCCAGTGGCCATTTCTGGTAAATTCATCTTTAAAATTACAGTATATATTTCTAGGATTTTTCTTCTACTTGTTAAAATATTTTCAGACTGTGGATAAGTAAATCAGGAGATACTGAACCCGGGTAAGGGGTCCTGCTGTACATAAAACCTTTGTGATAGATCCTGTCAAAATGAAGTTTCCTTCAATTCTGTCATTCCAAAGTACTTGGTCATTTGGAGTTATCACGGCCATCTTAGTCCCTTATTAATATTTTTTGCTAATGTTTTCCAGCCACCTAAGAAAGACTTGTTGCTTCCTGTTTAAATTATTTGCTGAAGGGTTTTTTTTTCTATTCTAAGAAATGATCTAGGCCAGTGGTTCTTAACCTTTGTTACTGAGGTGTTTTTGAACTGCAGCTCCCAGAAACCCCAGCCAGCACAGCTGGTGGTGAAGGCTTCTGGGAGTTGCAGTCTAAAAACACCTGAGTAAGCCGAGGTTAAGAACCACTGATCTAGGCTATTTGTATTCTAGGATGGTTTGGAAGAAATGGGACTTCAAAAGGTTTGGGCCGTGCCCAAGACAGGAAAAAAGAACTATGCTTGGTATTAAAGTGAAAGGTTTCATCTCGGTAACTGTTTTTTTCTCCTGGTCTTGGATCTTTTTCAGGATTCACGAAAGCCCACAAGACGAGCCCCACATCCTGTTGGAATGTGATGCCACCGCCCTAGACTCCCTACAGAAGCACTTGAAACTCTATAAGATCCGGAGGAAAGTAAACATCGCCCTTTGCCCTGACCTCTCTTTATGGGCTGTTATTCCAAAGGAACCTTCGGGGGATGTGGCCTGCAAGCTCCAGCAGCATACTAGCGAAGCTGTGGTTGCAACGCCTGATCCCAGAGTGGAAGTTATGGGTTGGAGGCTGATAACGGGCAAAGGTGCAGACCTGCAACGTATTGTCCCTGGGAGCCAGATTGGAAGCATTAAAGAATATCATAGACACAGGTATAAACAAGGTAAAAGTGTCCGCACCTTTGGAGTTCTTTGAACAAATATCCTAAAGGAAGCATTAAAAATAGGAAGGAGTTGTGTCTCGTCTAACGGTTGCAAATTGGAAACAACCAGACGTGGCCAACTTTATAGCATCCACCACTGGTAATGCATGGCTTCTACAAGAAAACCAAATTTATATATGTTAAATGTCACCCTGTTATATGTCAGATGGAATACGTAGCTTGGGGGTGAGCGTGTTGAGTTTCGGTGGGGGCGGGGCCAAAACTGAGATACTGAGGGTGTCCAAACTGAGGTGGTGAGGGGGAATGAGAAAGAGACTCCGGATGTGATCATACGGTGAGAAAGATACAGAAAGGGTCACTTTGCAAGGTGCAATCTCCCTTAAAGCGACTCTTCCATCCGTGGGGAATTGCTTTAGCTTCGACACGAATCTGGGTATTGCCTATAAGTTGTGTGATTGCCGGGAAATAACCGACACTGGACTCCACCGCAAGCAGTCCAGGATGCAAACTATACATGCCTGTGTGGTCACACTCTGAATTGTGCTGCGAATCGTAAAATTCTGTAGCGGAGAGTTGCACACATTGGCTGCATTTAGCCTTTTTAAAAGGTGAAATGGTCTCCGGTTGAGGTCTTCCTGTGTCTTGCACTTATTCACAGAAGTTTGTATTTCCTTCTGTGTCAGAGCTGGAAGAGCAAAATCCTTAAAAGCCTTGAACTTGGTTGGCATCTAAATTAAATTTGCTGCTTTGGAGACATGACCTAGTTAAGACCATGGGCCATATTGAAGGGAGAGACATTGGATAATAAATGGACCTAAAAGCAGGATGCTTGCCTGTATTACCTGGATGGTCTCGTACACAGGATTCACTTTGTGCTGCAGATGTCTTTGTGATGAACACCTCCGTGTTTCAAGAGAAAGTATCATAAAGTCTCTCTGTGTGGGTGTCCATGGGAGGGCAGCTGTCTTCTCAGGCATGTGTCTGTGGGAAAGGAAGGTTAGGAGTTCCTTGCTGGGTCTCCTTGAGAGGGGCTGGACTCGCCGATCGATATGGTCCCTTCCAGCTCTGCAGTTCTAAAGTTTAAGGTTCGAAAGAACAATTTAAAGATGGTTGTTGTGGTTTTTTTGGGCTCTTTGGCCGTGTTCTGAAGGTTGAAAAACAACCTTCAGAACACGGCCAAAGAGCCCGAAAAACCCACAACAACCATCAGATCCCGGCCGTGAAATACGAAGAATGTAAAGCTTTTTCTTAAATGATACTAGGAAAGAATTTTACATTTCAGAACATTGGCGGCGCTCCCCCTGGTGCTGATATGCTGGTAGTTACAGGAATGAATTACAAAAGGCAAACCAACAGAAAAAAAGAGCTGTCTCTGTACTCATCCATATTCCAGAACTAATTTTACGTTCATGAATGTGAACCTTCTAACAACTCTGGATTTCCCAGAGAAATCCTAGACTGCATGGCTGAGGCTGTATTCTGACAGATATTTTATATTGTCAATAAGGTGTAAGCACTGTCCGTAATAGTGACAAGTCTTTTAGCCATTTCTAAATTGGTTACTTAGGAGGTTGTGGTTCACCTCTGTGCTGGTTTCCGTGTATGGTTTGAAGAGGAGTGTTATTGTCTCAAAAGAGGATTCTGTTCACTAAAGCAGCTTGAGAGGATTCCTGAATAAGTCCTTCCTGGACAGCAGCATTCATGGAAAAGTCACGAGTGAGGCTACAGTCTACCAGAATTCACATGAATGGGCAGTTATGGAATTTGTTTATGCATCCATGTGTTTGTGCCATTTTGTCGTCTAGTGACACAGGGGGTCCCAAGTGGATTTTTGACTCCCTAAACATGGTTGACTTGGTTTCCAGCAAATGCTCTGTTAGCAAACCAGAGACAACACTGCTGTAAGGCACAAGGAGAAGAATACGTTTACTCTATATTGAGATGGTGTAAACACAGCCCAGTTGAGATGTCATTTATGTCACTGGTTCTTAACCTTTGTTACTCAAATGTTTTTGGACTGCAACTCCCAGAAGCCTTCACCATCAGCTCTCCTAGCTGAGGTTTCTGGGAGTTGCAGTTCAAAAACACCTGAGTAACAAAGGTTAAGAACCACTGATTTATGTCACACACCATCCAAAGGGGTTGCATCGCTGCTTTAAGATGCCTTGGCTGCTCTTGGCTGTTCTTACATCTCATGCCTGCAGTCCGATACTGGAGTTCTTGGAATGAATCCTGGTAGAACTCAGCTAGACTGAAGAGTTGAGCGCATTTACTGTTAGAACAACCAGAGGAGCAGATTGATGGATTAGCTTCCAGCACAGCAATTATGCAAGCAAAGGATCTCATTGGTCGGAGAAACCATGTTGGACATATTTCACTATCATATTGGCCAGAATTCAGCTGGTGTTTGCATAACTTGCAAAGCAAATTGCAGCCGATCGATGAAGTGCCGGGACATACCTCAGCCACGTGCCCGGTCCCATGCACAGTTACACAACTGAGACGTGCCTTGGCACCTTGTCGACTGGAATGAGCTGCGGGAAGGTAGACCCACTAACTGGGGATGAGGAGGAATAGGATTGTGCCTGTTGTTTAATAAGTTTCAGCTCCTTGTAGGGACTTTGGTTGGGGATAGCAAATTGGAGGATAGTTCATGGTGGATTTTGCCAGCCTGCCAGCCTAAGTTCCTAGCAGTTGTTATCAACGGTGACCAGAAGCATCTGTTCTTTGTGACAAAGAGCACAGAGAGACACTGCCTGTATCCTTTCTACTGTAGTTGCATCAACGTTTTTTTTTAACGAGGTTGTCGTTCCGCTTCTCACTTTTATTTGTTCCACTCTTTAACCTCGACTTTCTCCTTCTTCCCGTCACAGGCATCCCTGAAGGAGTTGAGGATTTGCCTTCCGGAGTAGCCTTGCCTTTGGAATCCAACCTGGCTTACCTGAACGGCATTAGTTTCACCAAAGGCTGTTACATTGGCCAAGAGTTAACGGCCAGAACCCACCACATGGGTGTAATCCGCAAGCGCCTCTTGCCGGTACGGCTTTCAGATCCTGTGCCTTCCGAAGGAGTCCCCGAAGGTGCCGAGATTCTGTCAGAGACAGGAAAGTCTGCTGGGAAGTACCGGGCTGGGAGAGGCGAATGTGGGATAGCGCTCCTGCGACTAGCTCACATACACGAACCACTTCATCTGAAGCTCTCGGGGGATGCACGTATAAGTCTCACGGCCTGCATTCCAAAATGGTGGCCGAAATCGACTGATAAATAGTAACTTTGCGCTGAGCATCGCATCTACCTTACTGGCTGAAAAATCCCGATGAGCTCAGAGCTCATCCACTCTTAGTGTCTGCTTTTCATGATCCGTCAGTTCAACCAAAGCATGGATTGTGCAGGAGAGATTCCTGGTGGATTATACCATTCCCCCCCCCAATCAATGAACAGTAAAGACTCAAGTGTGTGTATTAAAGTGGCCTTCTTCCTGGAAAGTTCACTTGCACAGTGGATTTGATTTAAATCGCTTTAAATCACATTAAAAGTTCATTGTTGCTTGCTTTAAAATGAATACATGTTTTTCAACAATTCCTTGGCCCAGGTTTGTTGGCATTTCATGCCCGTGTAATTTTTATTTCCTTTGCACTTTTGGAAGGAGAGGTCAACATTTGGCTTTATCTGCACAGAGTTGCAGAGGGACAAAAGCTGGATTTGACGCTCTGAAGAGAAAAAGTATTGCTCAGGGAAATTTGAAAACAATACGGGAGTTTTTGAGGTGGCCTCCAAGAATTTTCAACATTATGTCATGTTAAGAGGAGGAAAAAATACTCCAGGAATTGGAAAACAAGGCTTATTGGATTTGCTATTTTTGCCTCTGTATCTAGGAGACAGAAAACTAGTTTGAGAAGGACACATTTTTCTGATGGTATCTACTGGACTCTTTACTGAGCGACAAAAAGATTGAGCTGACTAATCAAAATGGAAACTTATGGAGTCTCATAATATCAAACTGTGCTGGGCCCTATAATTAAAATGATAATCAGGCTGGGCTTTTTAAAAAACAAACAGCACTTTTAACAGTATAAATTGTTAAAAAACTCAGTTAAATTTTAAAAAGCAGATTAAAAAATTAATCATGGGCGGAAATCCTGTTCATGGCTATTTATAAATATTTATTATTAATATAAAACATTCTACCACCTTAACTCAAGTGACAGATGGAACTATATTAAGAATTACTGCTGTTATTTTAAAAAGTAACTTTGCAGCATCAGTTTTGTTTTTACAAAATACGCTCTGTTAAATTACTGAATACAAACTGCATTTAGTTCTAGTTTATTGACTGTTGGTTTATTACAGACAATGGATTCCTCTTAATCTGATGAAACGACATTTGTCTTGTTCCAAAACTGAAGTTCCAAATTTGTTGTCCCAGTTCTGTCTCGATTTCCAAGGTACACAATCAAATGAAGGGATGAAAGAGCTTTCCACTCAAGTGAATTTGGGTGCAATAGCTAATACCCAGCCACCGAGTGTGGGAAATAGGGCCCATACAGGATACACCACCGGCCTCTCTGTAGCCTCTCTTCAGCTGCCCCTTCATCTTGGAGCTGGGATCAAAATAAGGAAATCGCAGCAAGCACAGGAAATTAGTGGATGGGCACAAAACATTGAGCTGGGCCGCAGGTCCTTGCTCAAATCTTCACTACCATTTTGTCCTTCCAAAGTGCCCGTCTGCTGCTCCCAATGGCTGTTGGCATCTCATATTTGGCACAAAGTTGAATGTCAACTGCATGGTGAACCCTAGTAAGACCACCCTCTCAAAGTTTAAAGATGTCCTCCTGTGTTGCAATGAGAAACTATGCCGCTTGGAAAGGGAGCCACATGCTGCTGTAGAAGAATGGCTTGAAGGAGTGCTTTGTAAAGAGCACAACACCCAGAATTCCATTGATTGACCATGCTTGGCAGTGGGATTTGTGGAAAAGTGGTTTCTACCTATTTTCCTTCTCCTCAACCTCATCACAGACTGGACTGGTAAGCTGGGTTCTCAGCAAGAGAAGTTGTTGCTGCTTTATTATTTGGATGTACACATATATAACCCATCAGGCTGCAGCAGAGAAACTGAAAGTGGGATTAGGCTATCCATCCTAGTGAGAAATCATATGCCTTTTGCTTCTCTTCCTAAACTGTTACAACTCTTGTGGGTGGTTGGCAAAATTTTGGAATTTTAACAAGTACATTTTAGCCTTCACGCCCCTTCCTGCTCCTTTTTATTATTATAAGTGTGTTTTTTAGATTATGATCCTGTAACCACAGCATTTTCTTAAACTTGTTCTTAGCACATGTTCATTACAAGTGTAATCATGTAACATTGCACGTTTCGTTCTTATAATTCTAATAAAACATAATACAACTGTGCATTAACTGCCATAGTCTCAACAATACAGTACTCCCATCCCGTATAATCAAAGCATAAATTGTGATCTGTTTTGCTTTTTCCTGTCCTGTGTTAGGATCTTTGTTTTTTTTCATTGAAAGACCCCCAGCAATCCTGTCATTTGCTGCTATAGCACCACTCTTTTATACACTAACTTTTCACATACAGTAATGTCTCAGATGGCATTAATCCAAGAATATGTATTTACATTACTTTATCCTTTCAGGGCCTGGCAGTTATACCATATGCAGCAGGCTAACATTGTGATAGCAAGGGTGGTTTTTTTAAAAATAATTCTCTCAGCATAGACAGATAAAAGCAGCAAGGCACCACAAATCTGCATTTTTACCTCACAGCCAACATTGAGATGTTTGGACATAGGAGCCTTATGTGCACCAATGTGCTTTCTTGCTCTACATTGCCTCTTGATAGTCTGGGAACGGCCTTTTATGGAATAATGATGGTTTATTTGGAGAGAGATGTCTTGTCTCACTAGTGGTGAGGATGATGACCTACACCTTTGAAGATACTGTACTGAATAGTGGCATCTTTCATATGAGGCCCCAACAACTATTTCCTGGGTTATTTTGGTATCAGTGTAGAAGGCAGTCCTTGGCTGGATCGCTCAGTGGTTTAGGTTTCTGGCTTGTGGAGTCTGAAGTTAGGAGTTCGATTCCTCCATGGTGCCTCCTGAAGTAGAGCCAGCCTGGGTGGCCTTGGGCAAGCTGCAGTCCTAGGGTTTCCCCTAGAGGAAGGGAAGGGGTAAAGCACTTCCAAGTATTCTCTATCTGGAATACCCTGAAAAAGTTCACCATAAGTCAGATTTGACCTGATAGCACATGATATTTAATTAGTATTCTATAGAAGGCAGTCAGCCAGGGAGCTGGACAGGGGACAGATTGTCATTTAATTAGTATTCTATGGAAGGCAGTCAGCCAGGGAGCTGGACAGAGGACGGATTGTATTTTTGTCTTCAGTGTGGAAAGGATGGTTCCTCTCGAATTGGCCTCCTGAGCCACGCTAGACGCTGTTCCAAGCCCTCTATTCAGAGCACGTTCCCATCGCCTCTCGAGACTGAAGGAGGCCTACATACTATGAGCTTGTGTATATGTATGTATACATGCACGCAGTTTCCCCCAAAATGAGACAGGGTCTTATATTAAATGCTTGTGTATATGTATGTACACATGCACGCACAGTTTCCCCAAAAATGAGACAGGGTCTTATATTAAATTTTGCACCAAAAACACATTAGTGTTGATTTTCAGGGGATGTTTTACTTGTTTCCTGCACAACCAGCAACATTGATTCAGACAGTCATGTCATCTGGTTGCTGCACAAGGGTGGAGAGCAGGGTTTCACTTCAATGTGGGGGGGGGTTGGGCTTCTATGACGAGCATCCTGAAAAATCCTACTAGGGCTTATTTTCAGGTTAGGTCTTATTTTAGGGGGGAAAAGGGTACTGTATATAAAGATTCCTCTTGACATTGGGTCCAGTCGTGTCCGACTAGGGTGCGGTGCTCATCCCTGTCTCCAAGCCATAGAGCCAGCGTTTGTCCAAAGACAATCTTTCCGTGGTCACGTGGCCAGCACGACCAGACACGGAACGCCGTGACCTTCCCACCGAGGTGGTACCTATTTATCTACTCGGATTTTTACAAGCTTTCAAACGGTTAGGTTGGCAGGAGAACAGGGTATATACATTGACACATATTGCTGCTTAGTCGTGTCCGACTCTTCGTGACCCCATGGACCAGAGCAAGCCAGGCCCTCCTATCCTCCACGGCCTCCCGGAGTTTGGTCAAATTCATGTTGGTTGCTTCGATGACACTGTCCAGCCATCTCGTCCTCTGTCGTCCCCTTCTCTCCTCTTGCTCTCACACTTTCCCAACATCAGGGGCTTTTCCAGGGAGTCTTCTCTTCTCATGAGATGGCCAAAGTTTTGGAGCCTCAGTACTGACACGTATTGACACATATTCTCTCTCTCTCTCTCTCTCTCACACACACACACACACACACACACAAAGTCTGGTACAATTTCTCCCATTTTGCCTTTGAGCTGAAACCTATGGAGATAATGAACGGTGTTTGCACCAGGCTGACTGGAACCTACGGAAAGTTATTTCTTTGGTTTTTCCCTGAAAAAAAAAGGGGGGCCTCCTGGCGGCTCTCGAGAAATCATGGAAGCGAGAAAAGGGCTCCTTGGGCAGGCACCCCTTCCTCGGCGAGGCCTGAGGGAATCCCGGCCTCCCTTCCCGCGCCTTCAACCGCCACCTTTTCCCCT